ACTGCAATCTACAAGAAAGAGAAGATGAATCACACTTTACAAAGAGCCATGAAAATATCTGCCCTGAGTCCAGCTTGACATGGGGTGAGGCATTGGTTTGCTTCTGGTAGGGGTAGCATCTAGGCATAGAGCCCAATGGAGCCCATCTGAAAGTATGGTAGTCCATTCCAGGCACCCCCACCAGAGGGAGACCTGACCCTAGGAAGAAAAATCACAACCACAAATTACTGAAGAAACCTTAAATGAGATCTCAACTTCTGTTCATGAATGTTCTTCTAAGAGAATGTTGTTCACCACAATTGTCTCTCTGTACCACTTTAAGGCTGGACATCAAGTCCATCTTAGAACCTAGAAAGAACAAGGATCTGAGAACCAATTTTCTGTCAGTGGCATGGATCCTATGATATTCTGCCAACTCCCATTCTGTCAGTTAAGCTTGTGGAATTAAACCTCGTACACATCATACTTAAGTCAAACTCACCCCATCATAGCCTAACCCCAAAGCAATGAAAAACTGGTGGGCAAGGAGTTTGATCCTGATCTCTAAAACACTACAAATTTCTCTTCATAAAGATTGCTTCTAGGGGCTGGGGATTTAGCTCAGCGGCAAAGCGCCTGCCTGGCAAGCGCAAGGTCGTGAGTTCGGTTCCCGGTACCGGAGAAAAACCAAAAAAAAAAAAAAAAAAAAAAAAAGAAAGATTGCTTCTAAAGGTAAGTAACTAAGATCATATGGGATTTCACCTGCATTATTACTGACATAACTCTTTGTCCTTAGCTACATTTTTGTCTTTATGCTAAGAATTAGCCAACATGATCTTTGTTTACATTGTTGCTTTCTTGACCCCTGTGAGCTTCCTGGGACTACACTCATGGAGTAATCAAGGAACTAACCACACTCTTCTGCTTTAGCTTTTAAAAAATTCAATATTTTGGATACTCAAAGTCCACAGACCTCTTGTTCACTAGCTGTGGATTCTTATTTTGGTTCCTAACAAATCTGGCAAATGAAACACAAACTAAAAATTCAAACCCTACTTGTCACAGACACCTGGTTTGATCTAATCAAGAAGCCACACCCTGAAATTAAAAGCTCTATTTAAAAATTTGTTTGAAAATAATGTTCTTGAAAAGACACCTATTTGTGGTGGCTTTGAAGGAGACCAATGGACATAGCTATGTCTGAGTAGTTGGGTATCTGGCTATGCCTTTCCATCCAGTGGTACCAAGAAACTAAGTACTGGAATAGCTCTACAAAACTGTTTCAAGAATTAAGAGAAGGCCTTATAATTATTTACTAGATATCAGGAAGATGGACTTTGGTACATATTTAATAGGCTCTTCTTGTCCTGGTAAGGGTTAGAAGTCCATGAACACATAACTAGAAACTTGTCTATTATCCCAGAAATTGCATCTAATAAACCTGCCTGATTTATCTCTCATCAGCAAAAAGAAATAGAATCCTTGCTAAAGTACTAGTCAATAACCATAGGGCAAAGAGGGGATTGCGCTAGTAAGAAAACTTGCTTTGTGTTTGTATTAACATGAGTGCTGAAATTGAAACTCACCATGAGAAGATTTGAAAGGGGGCTTTCTGGCTTCTATAACTACCCTCAGAAGTACCAAGAATAAATGACAAGAGCACAGATTGTTTTTCTGGTCCCCCAGAACACTACATCTATATTTTCTAGGATACCCAAACTAGGAATGTCTATTTTACTGATCCTATTTGTAATTTACATTCAAATTGATGTGATTTAAAATATTGCAATAACAATTGCTGAAAGAGCTCAAGTTGTGGTTTTATACAGCCTTGAACTGATCCCTGGAATTCATAAATATTTCAAATTTCAGTAAGACAATATCATTCCTTCATCCCCTGTACTTACCCCTTCTAAACAAGAAGTAATAGATGGGTCATCATCTCTATTCCTATGAGACTAAGGAATGACAAAATAGATAGTGGGGATTTGCAGCTAAACCCCATCACAAAAATTGACAATTTTTCTTGTAACTGATTTGGATTATTCTTCCTTCCTAAAGTTAAAAAACAAAAAAATAGAGCACCTTCTTTTTCTTTGTCTATTAGTGACGTTGACTAGTACTTGAGCATGTATTCCCTGTTCCGATTCATGTAATATCAACCATCATTGATAACCTTGTTATCTTCATTGCAGAAGAATGAACTAAAACTTTACAGCGTGATTTACAAACTTGATTTAAGCAACTGTAATTGCTCAACAATCCACCAAATTTTTCCCAGTATCAAGAGAGTCTAAAACCTTGATTTTATTGTTTTCCTCCTTTACTCTTTTTCCTTTTATAACTCACTTATATGCTTGCTGAGGGAAGGGGGATTTGAGGCCTTATCCCCTGCCTTCTTTGTTGGTACCGTTTTAATTAAACTTTCTGTACTCCAAATATCAATGGTCAGTGTTTTGCATTTGCTGTATACTGGGCACATACACCGGGCCTAGGTGTTCACGCACATGCTAGGGGTGGGGGCATTAGGTGATGGATCTATATATTTTGAAGGTAGGGCTAGCTAGTAGAACTTACAGGTGGCTGAACGTAAGATATGAATGGATAGGACATTCACAGAGCTTTATCATGTGAATAGTGAGGTCTTTTACTGAGAGAGCTGGCACCATAGCTGTGAAGCAGTTTTGTACTCCAGCTACTTTAACAGAATTATCCAATGTCCCTGGAAACATATGAATAAAGGAAGAGAAAGACAAAAGAAAAAAAAAAGAATCAAGATATACCACTTACAGGCACAAATTCCTTATGACGTATGCTAGAGTTATGTACATCTGAAATGTACCAATACAACTAATTAAAAATTAAAAACTAAAATAAAATGTAACTGTATAGGAGGATTCTGGTAGATCTGGCATTATTCCAGCAATATTCTAATCATTCTTATTGTCCTTAAATGAAACAAGCCAATAAACCTCACACTTATTTGCTATCTACAAGACAATTAAGCACTTAACACATACCATGTTATCAATTCTAGTAATCCTATTATATAGTACTATTGCTATCCCTGTTTTACAAGAAGTCAGAAGCACTTAGAAGTTTAACTTGCCATGTTGGTTTTAAATATATCCACAAATATTATTACTGCTTCTTCCTTCAAAAGACAAAGCCAGCTTCCTTTTCCTTGACAATGGGTTGAACCTAATGATTTGATTTTAACCAATCGAATGGGGTAAACGTGATGATGTGTGATATATCCAACAAGTTCATAAAGGCAACATGGCTTCCTCCTTGCTCTTCTACCATCAGTCACTGTGGGGGAGGCCAGATCCTCTGCATCAAGAACTTTTATGCAGAGGCCAACATGGCAGATAATGGTGCTCTCTAGAAAACGGTGAGCAAAAATTTACCAGTTGTGTGAGTGAAAGGTTCCTCCAGCCCCGGCCAAGCCTTTAAAGACTGCAGCCCTAGGGGCAACAGCAGCCTCCTGAAAAAGCTGGAGCTCAAAACATTCAGCTAAGCCACAACTCACAAGTTCCTGACCCAGAGATGTGGTGGGGAAAAATAAACATTTTTACTGCTTTAAACGGCTAAATTGTAAGGCAGTTTGTTGCTCCTCATTAGATAACTAGTATGTCTATCTTTGCTCACTCCAGTAATGGATCTACAGGTGAATCCAGCAGGTCTGACCCCAGAATCTATGCGTATTTTATGACCATATAATAATGCCTGCCAGGTGGCTTTACCAAAATGTGCATAGGACGAAATATCTAAAAACTATAACTGCATGTCAAATAATGTCAAAAATTCTAGACAGTGTAAAACTTTCTTCTAACCACTTAGTGTGATGGTTGACTCTATGTGTTTACTTGACTGGCCTCAGAGTGCCCAGATTAAATATTATTTTAGGGGGTTTCTGTGACAGTAACATTTGAATCTGTAGCTTCACTCAGTAGCTCATACTGCTTTTGCCAATGTGAATGGGCATCATCCAATCTGTTGAGGGTATGAAAAGAACAAGGGTAGAGGCAGGAGGAATTCACTCTTTTTGCTTCCTGCCTGACTGCTTGAGCCGATGTCTCATATTTCATCTCATTCCATCTCATTCCATCTCATTCCATCTCATCTCATTCCATCTCATCTCACCTCACCTCACCTCATGTCATCTCACCTCATTTGTCTCTCCTTGTTCTCAGGCCTTTGGATTTGGACTGAATTAGATTTCTGGGTTTCTGGTTGCACTTGACAGATAGTAGGACTCCTCTCCTCAACCTCCATAATTTTGCCTATTTCTATCTATCTATTTATCTATCTGTCTGTCTGTCTCTCTCTCTACCTACCTACCTGCCTATCATCTATTTATCTATCTGTTATCTATCTATCATCTATCATGTACCTATTTATTCATTCATCTATTCTACTGGTTCTGTTTCTTGGACAGTCATGATTAATACACCTCACTATTACACTCATATAATGTCCAAGCAGGTGGATCTTCTCAAAATTTTTACTCTGTCTCAAACTTATTTCCAAATATGTCAATATTGGTATCATGTAATACAGCTATCATAAGCTCACAATGAATGAATGTCCAGGCCATTGAGGGAGAAGGGGGCTGGCCAATGAAAATGGGCTCTGCACTGAATCCAGGGTCTGTTTTGAGGTTGCTATTGTTTTTGGCTCAGCCTAGAAATTGGATTATTGCTCTTCATACCACCGGGAGGCCTGCAGCTCAACCTCTGACCCAAGCAATCACAGAAGACAGGGGTACAAACTGAAAACTGTAACAATGCTCTTCAAGTTCAACACAGAGATAGTAAGAAACCTAATCGTAATCAAGAAATTACAAGTTTGTAATGTAAAATCTTGAAAGGAAAGGGGTTTTAAAAAACATAGCATTGACCTTTATCAGCTTTTTGTATTTCATGCTTTTGATCCCAAATTGGATGCTCCTGGTTCTGGGAGGCTGGAGGAGTAGGCACCGTTGATTCCATTATTTTACAGCAAGAGGGATAATGGTGGCAGCTTCTACGTGTACTTCCTCTAAAAAGCTCAACCTCTGCCTTTTCTGTAGAGACACGGAAAAACCTGATACTACAATAGAAACCATGCCTGCTGTTGATGCTCATCTCTGTCATCAGAATGGGAATGGTCTCTAATATGACAGTCTTTGGACAAGTCAGTGCTTGGAGCTTAGTTAAAATGCAAAGACATCAACTTCCTGAGTAATGCAAATTAAAGTCCTGGGTGTGGAGAAGCTGTGAAGTGTCATAAGAAAATCACTTCCAACCAAGGTGCCACCTTCAAAATTTGGTGAGAGAATGTTCATATAAACTTTTATAATCTTTGCAAGTTTATTCTTTCACCATTCATTAGCAAAATAACAGTCTCCAACTTCTGTAATTTCAAATCCAACAAGATATCTTTGCTTTCTGCAGAGGAAATTGATTCATTTTACTATAAGAGGAAACAGCTTTACCATTTAGCCCAGTAATAACATGTTCTTTATTCCTTATTTTTAGTTTTTTATTTGGACTTTACCCCATCAGTTAGATAAGTTAAGATCAAGGTCTAAATACTGAAGACAAATCAAACATGTAATCAAAGAAGTCTTTCTTGGACTGAAGTTGTAGCTCAGTGGTAGAGCACATGCTTAGCAATTCAATCCCCATCACCAGGGGAAAGAAATGTTCAGTCTCTCTGACCACAAAAAGATATTAGAATTCAATATTGATACTGCGTCCTTCCCACATGAATTAAACTTATAGGTCCTGTTTAAAGTTACATCTGAATATATGTTACCTAATATTTATCAAATGTGAGCCAATTAGCAAACACTCCCATGACTAACATTGGTTTTCATATCACACTGTCTCATCCAACTGAATAGCTTTTGTTAGCATTGGGTCCTATGGGCAATGTGGCGCTCATTTGACAAAGTGATAGCTTAATGTTTATGTAGGTTCCTTTCTCCCTAAGGCTTACATTGCTTCCATAACACACTTCCTTTGGATGATAAAAGTACTAGCTTGAAAAAAGACGTGACCAAAGTGGTTACAAGAGATCTAAGATGGTCACAATTTCATAGTGTTCGTTGGGATAGAAGAAAAGGCAAGAGGATACAAATGCACACTATTTTTTATGAAATTGTAAAATTGTTTTTCTCTTACATAGGCTTTTAAAAATTCCTAAAATAAGAAGCAGTATGAACGGAAAATAAATATTCTTTCTTTAAGAGTATTGTGAAAATACAAAATCTCACTGAGAGATTTACATTTTTCATTTCTTTTTTTTAATTAAAAATCACATTCTTGAGACGTTAAAGGAGGGGAGGCTGGTGGAATCTTGGTAATACCCTGTTAATACCAAAAGGAATCAAGCCGTATAAAGTCAGGAAATGCCGATGTTAATCATCTTGCATTAGTAATGTTCACTTGCCTCATTAACCATACATACCATTTTTCCTATTCCTTAAATTTAGAGTATATAATGAGCTTTAACTGTGTCTTTGTTTTAGATTACTCTACAACATTTGGAATGTCTAGCACAGTGCCTGGCACACAGTGGTTACTCATTAAATGCTTGTTGAATAAAAAGAATGAATGAATGAGTGAATTTGGTCCTAAGGCGGAAATCTGTGATAAAACTTTTGTCATGAGCTTTCAGTCTCATGTTATAAATATATTCTTAAGAGAATGAAGTGATCTTGTTTATATTTCATACTTCCCAGTTCAGATGATCAGATGTCTTCTTGACACTTAGAGCCAGTGCCTCAGGGTAGAGGTTTGGGGCTTTGCTGTGTGCCTGTTGGACTTCGGTCCTTCCAGGCAGTCCAGAAAATGGGAAGGCCAAAAGCTCATCCCCCACTCCTTCTCTTCCTCCAGACTGTCAAGAGAATGACTGACGTAAAACAGATCCTCCTGTTTCTCACTATCTGATGGGACCCTGTGAAGAGCTTTCGTTGCTGCAAGGACTGTAAATTTTGTGGCGGCGATGCAGCAAGCATGGGCGCTGTAAGAAGCATCATTTCAGAGGATTGATGAGCAAAGCAAGAAGAACAACCAGTCTGTTCCATCCCTGGTGAATTGTGAACATTTCTTTCAAGGGACTGGCATTACAGAAATGTTTTTCCAGGAAGAACCACAGGAACTGATGGAGTGGTTGTATTCCATGGCTTTGGGAAAGAGTGTTTTCAATCTGAGTTTCCTGTAGCAGGTAACTTTTTCTGTGTGAACTAGCATTTTAATAAGGTAGGACACCCTCATTCAAGGATTTCCATATGAGAACTCTCTTTTTCTTATTCACGCACAGGAAAAATTTAAAGTGAGCTGCTGGTCAAGTGAATAGACTTTTTAAACTTACATTGTGCCCATGCCCCCAGGGACAAATGTAAATGACCAGTTTCACTCTGTGTCTATCAAAATGCACTTAATCACTGAAAAGATTAGGCTCCATGGCTTAGAAATCTGTGGGTCAAAAATGATGTCAACTTAGCCCCCAGGGCCACCATTATTATGTGTGGACTGTCTTCTGGAGGTGGGTAACCTACAGGTAGAGGCTCTGGAGACCTGTGCTATACACTTCTATGAAACAGAGGGTATTCTATTGCTCAGGAAAGAGTCCTGTGACTTAATGAAACAGAATAATGGGCTTATGTTAATGGATTAAAATTCTTGTCACAAAATCTCTAAGGGAAGCAGAGATAGGAAAATACTTTTAAAAATATTTCCTGGGAGAAATTGAAGTTTACTTCAAATATATTTTCCTACCAGTATCACAATAAAATTTATTTCAAAGTCTGTAACAGGCCCGTAACTGAATGGATCGCTACTGCCCTATTACCTCGACTTAAAAATATATATAACAGTTTGTTCTAGAAAACTTCTTTGAGCTGGGTATGGTAAGCATGTCATCCTGGCACTTTTGGAGGCTAGAGCAGGATTTCAAATTTGAGCCCTGCCTGGGTGACTTAGCTAGACCCTGTCTCAATACACAAATATTTAAAAGGGAGCCGGAAATGTTATCCACCAGTAAGACCCTGGGTTCAATCCCTGTACTGTAAAAACAAATAAATAACTTTCATTGACACATTATATATTTGAAAAGAAAGAGAAGTAATTCATTAGATTCAATTATGCGAGCTGGATCCTCTGAGACAGCTGATGGAATTGGAAAATGGGAATGTGGACAGTCCGAAGGCTCGGAATAAGACTCTCAGACTGAATTAATTCAACAAACCTTATTGAGTGCTTCCATGCGTATTTAAAGCTAATTCCATCTGTGGGTTATCTTGTGTAATACTCATCAGCTACAGTAGAAGATGTCAGATTTCTATGGAATCTAAAAGTCCTTTAAAATAGTTTGAAGACATTGAGTGAGAGGGAAGGTAACAGTGTACACTATACACCTCCGGAGGGTAGTTTTCTTCCTTTCTAGAAACTACAATGAAACTGACGAAGACAGAAGTAGGGAAGGGACACAGGTCAGGAGCAGGAGCAGGGTTTTGAGCCTTAGGGAGGGAGAATTGCTTGAGAAGTGCGTCAGTCAACTTTGTTAATACATTCTAAAAGGACAAGTCTTATCTCTTCTTTCTCCATTCCCCTTCTACTTCCCCACCTTCTCCCACCACCACATTTTGTCCCTTTTCTCCTTCTTATATATTTTCACTGGAGGATCTATAAGAAACACAAAATAACTCTGTAGTAGAAAAGCACTGAGAATAAAATTAGTCCAAAATTAGATAAGTTGCTGGCCAAAGTACACTCGTACACCATACCGAGCTATCTCCCAAACATAACTAACCTCTTCTTAACTTTGCAAAGTTTTAAAAGAGACTATTACACATCATAAATTACGTCTAATGTAATTTCAGTCTCAGGCTGTGTGTGTCAACACCCTTTAAGGCACTTAATCATTTGTTAGCATTTGACATGTTTCTCTAAAAATAATCAACTATAGCATATTAACCACACACAGATAACCATATATGGGTTCTTTGTGAAGTGAAGAACACAGCTCCCTGGCCTCGAGACAACGGAGTCTTGGCCATTTTATCCTTTTGTATAACTCTGGAAATAACCTTCAATCTTGAACAGCTCACACTAGGTAAGCAAAGCAAAAATCTAAAGCCTTTGATAGATAAAGCCTTACAATATTGAAGGGAACATTACCTTGACATTTTTAGAGGCTTGGATTTATGGAGGGACCAAGTGTCAGGACAAAGGCAAACACGAGAAGTACCACAAAGTCAACCTGGGGAAACTTTCATTGCCCAGGGCCCTATGTTTGCTCACCATTTTGTCACAGGACTCTGTGGCTGGCAGGTAAAACAGTGCATGGGGAGCATGAAGTCTTGAACTGCTGTGTTATTTGAATTCTGCTCCTGATCTGCTATTTGGTTATGACCAATACCTGCAAGCAAAGGGGATCAAGCTTCCCGTCTTTCATTTGGCCATTTGTAAAAATACAAGTAGAAAGAGCCCACTGACCTCCTGTCTTCTGCGTATTTCATTGTATACAAACATCAGCCCACCAGTGGCTGTTGTAAGCACTATGCTCAATGGGTTTGGGACATTTGTTTGATCTGTTAATTAGAGCTAATAGTTGCACTCTTTATTAACATTTTAAAATATAGTATTTAAATGTTCTTAATAGTGCTTCTTAAATTTAGTTTGCATTAACTAAATCGCAAAGGTATATAAATTCCATTTTTGAAACAAATTGCTTCTGCCATTGTATACCTTTGTCTATCACTAAAATATCTCACTATCATATCTAAGTTATTTGACCAATAATGAGAAAAGTGTTAATAAATTTGTTGATGAAAATAGTATTACTAAATAGGGAAATATCAAACTCCCCTCCTTTTGATACTTTTATTTCTTGTATTACTCTATATGTACCTATTTCTATTTGCTGATTTGGAAAATTATAACTTTAAAAGTTAAATTTGATCGTGCTCCATTAACTCTTAATTTTAACTATGAAACTAGTGAATTGCACACAAATTTGTTAAGTACCAGAGATAATCTAAAGAAAGATAGTGAAAAGAATAAATTTGTTCAGAAAGAAAATTCTGATTGTGACATAAGAACAAAATGTCTGATGACCTGCCAAGGTCATGTCACTCAAATCTCATTTGTGGGTGCAGTGCTGCAACTCCACATTTCAACATGCTAGCATTTTAAAATCACATGCATTTCCATCTTAATGAGTTAAATGTTAAAGATCAGCACTTTTTTTTAAACTGTGAAAGCAGTTTCCTTGCCTCTTATGGTGGCCTATAAAGTCTTAATGGTTAAACAATCTGAAAGCACTCTATTGGGCAATCCAGCCAATTTTTAGCTGACCACTGGACACCTGATTACACTTGGATCTTAATCAAGCCAATTAAGTATCAATACCTGCTATGTCACTTTGTAAGATTTTTTAAAAATTCAATTCTCTTACATATAAAGGAAGTTACATTTGCAAACTATATTGACCCAATTATTCATAGAAATGTAGAAGACTTACATTGTTAAAGTCCAGAAATATTTGCTCAGGAAATTTTAATTTCTTCACAACCCATCTCTAAGTGTTTTCAAATATCATCACTCAACCAGACCACGCCAAATCAACGAACCACTTAACTAACAATATGAAAAACCCATCACAATAGCCAAAATACACTTGGCTCTTTAGCTTTCTTCATGGCTTTGACTTCTGCACTGCCACAGGTCAGTATCTAGATACAGACTTCATGTCCACTACATATCTAGATGACCCCCACATTTTAGCACATGTAAGAAAGATACAGTAAATAGCTTGCAAATAAGAAGAGATTCACTCTCACAGATATTTCAACCTTGGCATTTGGTTTAGGTGGACATACAGACCATCTGGTGACTCAGATACATTAGAGGTATATATTAATGTATATATATTTATTTGGAAATGTTATATAAAGTAATGATTAGAACTAAGAGTATGATAATCAGTTCAAAGTGTAATGTAGCAATATGTATCAAATTTACAGATGCATATAACCTTTGATTTAGTAATTCTAGCTTTTGGAAATTTACCATTTAGACATAGCCCTACATGGATGCAAGGCGATATGTATAAACATGTTATCTGAGGTCATGTTTGTAATGACAATAGCTGAAAAACAAAAAAACATTCAAAACATAAATTTCTACTTATTCGAATATACATGCATTCCACTAGCATTGTTTGCTTATGATGTGCGAGGCTTTGTGCCAGGTGGTACTGCGTATCACTTACGTATCTATTTTATATGTGTCCATGCCTATATCTATGGCCATATATATTTGTAAATATCCACCCTGGATGGTTGAATGAATCACTTCTCATCTGGTTTCTGTTGTGCAATGTGGACACCGCCTTACCTGCGCTCACGTGGAGGGTAATAAAGCTTACTATGCTCAGCAAGTTTACTTGAGTACCTGAAGTGCTTCAGCAGCCTCCGTTTGCTCAGCGTCGAGACCTCTCCCTGGCCTTCAGCACAAGATCCCCTGACATAGGAGACTGGAAAGTGATTGATCCCACCTGAGAGTTTCAAGGTCGCAGCTCCTGGAGGGAGCAGGGCAGAGCAAGCTGGTCTGTCTCCAGAGGCTATCAGTGCCTCTCAGCAGCATCCCCGTGTATGGTTCTGCCCCATTTTACAGCCATGTCAGGAACCGTGGCCTCCAGCAAGAACTATGGCATTCTGTGCCTTGTCAGTTTTTTTTTTGTTTTTTTTTGTTTTTTTTTTTTTTTGGTTTTTCTCCGGTACCGGGAACCGAACTCACGACCTTGCGCTTGCCAGGCAGGCGCTTTTGCCGCGGAGCTAAATCCCCAGCCCTGTGCCTTGTCAGTTTTATTGAGCTTTGTATTTATTAATGTTATAGATTCAAATGGACATTTCTTAACCCCCTGAGTATATTAACCAAAAAGGCTTTAGGGATTCTATGAGCCTCCAGAAATTGTGTACATTAGATTTTCAATGAGAATTTTAATACCTCACCAAAAAAAAAAACCAGAAATCACTTATTTAGAGATTCAAATGTCTCACTTTAGGCATTCACAATAATGACATTCATAATTCACTTAAATTATTCTTAGTAACTGTGAAACTTGCCCACTTAGAAAGAAATTTTTTGGGGGGGTACTAGAGATTGAACCCAAGGCCTACTCACTCAGTTAAATAATCAACTCCTTTTAAAATTTTGAGACTGGGTATCATTAAATTGCACATTTTTTTAGGGGAATAAATGAACTTCAGCTAGTCCTGGAGTATGCATTTTGGTGAGTAGTCCTTAGGGAAACATCTACTGATATTATTTATATGACACACTATAGACTATCTGAAGACAATTTCAAGAGCTAGAAATCCTCAGAGAATTCAAGTTTATCCAGAACATTTGTAGCAAGAGTTCTACTATGTCATAATGTGCCACATAATTCTGCCAATGCACCCAGCTGAGGAGGTTGTAAAAAGGGCCAAGGCTTGAGGTTCAAGCCCAATTTAATCATTTTGTAGTGTGGTGACAGTGGGCAAGTTATTTCTTTATTCAATGTGTAATTTCCCCAGATCTAAAACAGATATGATAACACTTCCTTCTTTCTAAAATTGTTGCAATGATTTCATGAAGTGAAGCAAGTATCTAGTGCACATTAAATGGTAGCCAGTATTATTATATTAAACCAAAGGAAATGATGCAGAATCCCACTTTAGCAAACCTAGCAATGGGACGTAATTTTATGTGATGAATTTGTCTCTGACCTACGAAAATGTCTAGATGATTGAATTTGTAATGACTCATTATTTTATTTCAGAAGTAAAAACACAGCTTTAACAAACTTGATAGCTTCAGGGAAAAGGATGTAACTTCCTAGGGAAATAATAAAGGACTTTGAAGTGAAAGGACTTCTGTGTGCTCAGTCAGATAGTCTTTGGTTGATGGAAAGTCATTTGATGAGACAGAAAGTCTCTTCCACTATCCCACAAGAACCGATTTACAACTTTTCTGGAGGCAACAAAATAAAAGAAAATGTTCTCAGACCTGCCTTCCACACAGCACTTCAGTTTCTGGATGACTCAGAGAGGTTTTTAAATGGGCTAGATGTGGGGGGGCTCCAGTTTTGATGAACTGAATATTTATGCCAAATTACCAGGGTAGAGTTTAGTTTGTGGGACTCCTTATGGGTTCTTTCTTGCCCTATTGGAGTTGTGACCACATTAAAGAGACTCTTAGCCCATACTTTTGTTTAAAGTAAAACCCTTAGTCCATCAGAACCAACTGCTGGGCAGGATTGTATAATTTCTTCAACTTATTCCCCAATTCTGGGAAGGCTTCCTCCAGACCTGGATCCTTATTTGAGTCTCATCCCTAAACCTCAGAAATATCTAGAATTCCTTTCAAATGTGGAATTTGTTTTAGAATCTCCAGAGACTTAAGAAAGAAAATGGGTAAGGTGCTGTAAGGTAAGGACACCTGGCACAGGGCTCAAAGCATCCCTTACACTGTTTCCCAACCTTACATCCCAGGGCTACTTTTGCCCTTGTGCACAAATCCACAAAGTGCATTCTCTTTCCCTAATGCTTCACTTATGCTTTTCTGTAGGACTTTCTGTTGCTGCTGATCATTGAGAAGCAGAGTTTTAAATATCTGCATAGCATTTTAAAATTTTCCAGCTTTTTCACTCAAGCCATTTTTCTTAACACCAGAAATTCTCAGCATGTGGAGAGTACAAGCCTTACAACAATTGAGGAAACTGAGACCCAAAGGGTTGGGATCTGTCTAGAGTTCCAAAACAGCCTGGAGTCCAACAATGGTTGCTTATGTCCTACTTGGATTCTTCTACCTATTTCCTGTGACACCTGTGGTAATGATAATATTAACAATAATGTCCCATAGTAATGCTAACTACTAAAACTATCACATACATTGAACGTTCCTTGGTCTTGTCTGCAGAATAATACATGGGGTGCAATTATATGGTGTAAACATTGGAACCTGATGGCCTTGGGGTTGGTCTCCAGCTCTAGCTCTTACTCACTGGAAGATCTTGAGCATCCTACTAGTCATCAGTAAAAGGCTGGCGATATCTATTTGTGGGTTACTGGAAAGACTAAAGTAATTAAATAAGTTATTCCCGTGCTTGCACCACTGCACGCATTCAGTGAGGAGTAGCTAAACTCACTCATCGCAGCTAGAATGTCTTTCCTACGCACTAGCCCCGGGTCTCTTTCTTCCAGGCCTTCTGTTCCCCCTAAACCTACTCCAGCTCCTCACCTTCCAGGTCCTCCCGGACAATGCTTCCCGAGGTTAGTACGTGTATGAAGCACCTGAGCTTTAGAGGTGCAGATTCTGTTGTAGTAACTCTGAGGAAGCCCTGCTGTCCCTAACAAGCCCTGGGGATGGCAAAGCTGCCAGTCTGTGAACTACACTTTAGGTGGAGAATGTGCCCATATAGTTGGACTTTATGACCAGTGGTGATTCTCAAAGAGTTCACCATAACCACATAGAGGGCTTTTAGAAAATATAAATTGCTGTGCTCCACCTCAGAGTTTCATTGACCTGGGGCGGGACAGGAAAACCTTTATTTCTAGCAAATTCCCAATGAAAGGCACGCTGCTGATCAAAAGACTATGCTTGTCCTCGGCTTAGCAGGGAGCTGCTGAAGACTAGAAGGGAATTTGGTTGCAATGACTTTTAGGAGGGGAAGAATATTCACGCGGAAGCTCCCGCTGAAGGCAGTCTCAGCGGCCCCTTTCCAGCCAGGCCCCTCCCATAAATAAGCCCTCCGGGACATATGCAGCGACCTGTACCTTGTAGACATTGATGGGGATGTCAATGATGATGTGCAGGAGGTCTCCAAGAGCCAGGCTAGCGATCAAGATGTTGGGACCGTTCCGCATGCACTTGTTCTTGTAGATGATCCTCAGCAGTGTGGAGTTCCCGATGATGCCTAGCACGAACACTAAGCAAGACACAACCGTGTTGATGTATTTGAAAGTCTCCTTGATCTCGATGTTGCTGTGGCACTGTGAAGCAGAGGGGGGACGCGGGGGGCCCCCAGGCGTCTGCCCTTTTCCAGGTACCTCTGCAGGTGCCGAGGACTCTGGCAGGCTGGAGTTGGAGCTTCTCAGCCAGGAGGTCTTCGTAGATGGCGTTATTCTCTGTCCGGTCTCCAGAAGCCTTGGAGTGGTCCAGGCAGGGGGGAATCCTTTCTCCTCTCCCCAGACCCCCGCCGAAGTGCAGGCAAAAACCAGCGCCGCCAGGGCGAGTCCGCACAGACTTGGCGGCGACTGCATGCCGCCGCTTGCTCCAGTGGGTGTCTGGTGGCCGCTCCGCTGTTTTCTGTCTGGAGACCGGCAGGGGAACGAAGACGGGACACAGGGATCAGCTACAGAGCCACGCCTCTGCAAACTCTAGCGCAAAGCTCGGCGCGTCGCCACTACCCGCGCGCAAAAAGTAACTTAAGTTTGCGCGCCAGTGGGAGCTTCGGTGTGCGTCACCCGCCCGCGCGCTGAGTCTCCTTCCTGACCCCTCTCCCGGGTTTTTCTTCCCCCAGTTCCCGCCAAGGGGTAGGTCTCTCTCTGAGGGGCGGGGCATTCTGGAAGGGGTGTGCCTAGCAAGGAAGGATGGCAAAGCTCTGAACTGAACTCTCCAGGGTGCGGGGAGGGAGACTTGCGTTGTAGCTAAGCCTAGGGACTAGGGAATCAGTTCCTAGAGCGGCTGAGGGCAGGTGCCAATCTCAGCATTTTGCTCGGCAAGGGAACCCTGATCACCCAGGGCCAGAACTCCAGATCTCCTCAAAGCGGTGAATGTCGCTGCTCCCAGCCGGTCGCGCAGCTGTTCCCCCAGGGCGCGCAGCAGTGCACCGGAGGACTCGGGAATCTCAGACTTCTCACCTCAAGTCTGACTTGGGGAAATACCAGCACGACCTTGGAAGCTCTGTCCTTCTAAGCGGCTCCCAACACTCAAGTGTCCCCTTTACGCAACCTCATTTACATTTGCTGCATCTATATTTCTTATTGATTCACTTCTTTAAAAAGAAAAAATTCCCAAAGGAGTAAGCGAGTCAAACTGAAGCCCCAGAACAAGATTCAGTCACTGATTTTAACTCATCGCCAAGCTAGAAAGTTTACCTTGCGGATGGGACGCCCCAGGCGTGGGTGACCAGCACGGACCCCAGTGTCGGACGCAGAGCGCGCTGGGCGGGCAGCGGGCTTGCAGCCTGCCCAGGGAGTGGAGCCCCTCTCCACCGCCCAACTGCAGCGCGCCTGGCTCTGACCAAACCCTGAGGGACTCGGTCTCCGCTGTCCCCAGACAAGCACTTTTATTCATTCTTCCATTTTCCCATCAATCACCGCCAGATTCCTCCCTCGCCTTCCGACCGAGCCGCAACCTTTCCCCTTGGGCAAAGCCTGGACAGCGTCAGCGGGAGCTGCCCGCTGCAGAGGGCGGCCTGACCAGAGGCGCGTCCCACACGGGCAGGGCTGTGTTTTTGTCATAGTTCTAAGTTTTACAAACGAAGAGCCGGAATCAAGGGCAAGTTGTCACGCACCGCATCCTGCTGGGGGCTCCAGACTGGAACAAATCTCGATGTTAAACGTTTTAATGCGCACTGTGTTTTTTCATTCAGATAAATGTCTCGCCGTGATAGTTAAGAGTCATTGGTTTGGGGACCTGCTCTTTGCTTTTGTTTTGCCCTGAAGTTTCCAGTCCACAAGGGCCCCGGCAGGGAAGAAAGAAATCATTTTTCCCCTCGGGGCTTCTTGCTGCTCCTGGAGGGGATGGCCAGTCCGCCCTCAGTTTTTATGGCATAACTCAGCTCTTGTCGTCCTCATGTCAGGGGTTTTTACACTGTAACTCTGCAGGACTTGATACAGGAGACTTGAAATTGGTCGGAAAGCTGCTATGCAAATTTAATATGATATTGATTTAGCAGACAGAGCAATAAAACTAATTCTCCCAATCCATCCTTCAGCTCTATTTTAGTGGCATAGAAGGCAATGATAATGACCGGCAGTTTTGACCCAAGATTGCATAAAAGTGAGCAAGTTAGGCCTGTGGTGCCCTGGATGCTACTCTGCCGTTCTCCAGTCCCTGATTTCAGGACCAAAAAGCACCATTCCATTCCCGTAGCAGTTCTGCCTGGACAATAGGTGTACTTTCTTGGCTTTACCCTTAGTTAATGGATTAGAGGAGATTGAAGGTTGGACTTTCTTTCTTTCCTTTTCTCTCTCTCTTTCTTTATTTCTCTTCTGTTTTTGCCCCTGAAAAATACTTTCTGGGAAACTGGAAGCAGAACATCAATTTCTATTTTAGAAACTGAACTTTAAGTGAAAAATATAGTTAAGAAGACTATTGAAAAGTAAGGGTGAAGGAATGTGAAGTATGATCTGGGGCTGTGAGTGCTAATTACAAAACAGGCTGTTTTGAACATAGCTCTTATCTACCCTGTCCCCGTGAAAAAGGTCAACTTTCAATTGCTTCATAGCAGGGTGAAGAAACAATGAACATTGTTATCTGAAAAAGAATTATATGGATGCGTTTGGAGTATGACTAGTTTGCTCATTTGGCTGCCCCAGGGCAGATCTGAACCTGGTCCTCTTACACAATCGCTCTTCCTTTCTTGCCCAGGGCTCTTGTGGGGATTGTCTCTCCCCTGTCATCTTCATCACCATCATCATCCCTTCGTCGTCCACTGAGTCCTGGGAGTTCCTTATACCTTCCACCCAGGTTTACCTCTTCTTTTCTCTCCTAACACTTTTTGGCTACACATCTTAGTACTTGATCACATAGAGATGTTTATGGTTCATTACTAATTTCTTTTTCAGGACAGGGACTGAATTACTTGTTCTTTCTGTGCTATCACAATACCTGACTCAGGTTGAGCTCAAGAAATATTTTTATAGACTGGTCATTTCATTTTAAATTATTTAATTATATTTTAGCAGTACTAGTCATAGGGCTTAAGAATGAATCCAAATAATGTTGAGGTAAACATATACCATTTCTCCTTTGGAATTTAAAACACAGTGTACTTTACTGAGTATAGGACCCATTGTCTATGGTAGGCATATTATTTATTGGAACTCATTTACAGTAGGCTTTGAGCCCAAAATTATTTCTCATGATTTTATAGGTAGTGAAATTCTAAAATAGTTACTCACAACACATGACTATTTTGTTGTGAGACCAGAATTTGGGGCTAGGATTTGAATCCATACCTCTCTGGTTACTCAGACTATACTTCAGGTTAATTTAATTACACAGAATCTAAGCAGATCTTCTCTTATATATTGGGAAAACATGCTTTAGACATTAATAATATTTAACAGAAGTTTAACCATAAATATTTTGCCAAAATATCTAAAGGCAACTGTGTGAAATGTAAAGGTTAAATCTTTGAATCTCATAAATAACCGTGATCAAGTCTTAAGAAACTGAGTCTCAGTTTCCCTTTTGTATAAAACAGAGGGACCGAATTAGAGTTAAAGTTACTTGCTGCCCTGATAAAGAACTCTGGCTGATAAACTCGTGCTGTAAGAGTGATCTGAAGTACCAAATAATTGGAACAGACAGATCTTTGATTATGTATCTCTTTTTTTTTTCATGCTTGGAGTAGTACGGCTCTGCACACAGATTTATTTTCACCTTATAACTTAAAATCTCATATTCATCAAGTTTATTTATAAATCCACTGGTAGTTAGGCACTGTGTAAATTTTATTTGTATATACGAGCAAAATCTTGTATCTAAGTTCGAGAAACATTTCCTGAATACTTTTGGTTTTAGACTAATTTTGCATGTACAAAGAATTTATTTGGGGCCTGGAGTCACATAATTGGAACCTTTTGCAAAGTTGCTTTTAGAAAGACACTCTTACAAAGTATTCTAGGAAATCTGTCAAAATTCCAAATTGCCTAAGATCACCTGCAAAATCAGAAAGGTAGTGTAAGGAGATGTCCCAATATTGCCTTTCAGTGCTTCAGCTAGAAAGTTCCTGAAGACAGAGCTGGATGAGCTTCTGAATTTATCCCTTCAAAGAAGTTTGCCATGGGGAGCTTGCCGAAAGCAAATCTTTTCCCCTGGTAAGAAAAAAAAGAAAAAGCCTTTAGCACAAAAAAGCTAATACTTTCATGTAATTCTCTTGATACGAATGTACCTTAGAAGTTTACCTTGAACTCTCTAAATCATGAATGCTAAGGGACAAGGTGTGTAAAAACGCAGGCAGAGGTGGTTCAATTGCTTCTCTACACATTCCCTGAGGAGCAGATCCAATGATCAAATAGTGGTTGAAGTAAGAGCATAAAAAAGATTTCAAGTGACTGCACAAATCAATAGCAAACAGCATGAACATTTCTATTTCTTGGATTTTTCCTTTCTATTAAATGACTATAGGTATGTGGGACATAGAGTTGAGAATTTTTTTTAAATTAAAGTATAATTTATATACAGGTAAGTGGATAAGACTTAAGTACACAGTTTGAAGAATATTTTGATCAATGTGTACACCCCTGTGCGTCGTTCATATCTGAGGAGCTTTTTGAAGATGCAGTTTTTGCAAAGTAGCAAAATTTGAATATTTTGAATTTAGATACAATTTCTGTTAAACCTTCCAAGATATTATATCTGCTTTATCAATTATATATGTATGTGTATATATATATATATTCTGAAATTGAAATGTGAGGTTTGCTTACAGATGATATAATCTAAGATTTCAAATTTTAACAGTGATTGTTTCCCCCATATAGTCCATGCCTTGAAGTAATGAAAATTTGATAGGCTCAGTAGTAAACTAGAAATAACACATAATTGAATTCTGCTTATAGAAAATATGGAAATCAGGAAGGCCACACTTCCTTTTTCTGTTTGTGGAAAGTGATACAGTTAACTACTTTAGGTTATGGTTAACATTATTTAAAAGGTAATTATTTGCTTTATTATTAGTTAAGTAATTTTTGTATTCCTGTCTTTGATGTATTGTTTACACACCAATCTTGGTTGACAAAAAGACAAAAACCTTCACTATAACTTATTCTAAAAACTTAAAATGCTTACAAAACTTTGACACAACTTAAAAAATATATTAGAAATTCCAATCTAAGCGGGCAGTTTGATCTACATTTTCTTAGTTTATCAGTGCTCATGATGTTATGTAAACTATTTTTAGGTCATTCAGTACTGAAGACAATACTGTTTTAAGTTGATGTTAGAACACTCTTATGTGTGAGGCAATCTTTTGTGGGCTATTTCATAGGAAGTGTAACTTATGACACATTTATGCATTTTCCCTGCAATTGCTTTGTACAATTTTCACCTCTCCTTGTTTTCATTGTTTTGATGTACAAATACAGAGTCTAAAGAGATGTAAGTCACAGGAGGTTAGAAAGAAGATAAAGACAAGCTTGGAGTTTTAACAATCTAGTGGTGAATAAAAGAGAGTTGCTGTTTCACAATGAAAGGAAAAGTTCTCTGCAGTACAGAATGAAGTGTCCAGACAGTTACTGAAAAGAATTTCGACAACAGGCTTTTCTTCCTCTTTAACAACTGTATTTAATTGATAAGTTTTTAAAATCTCATTTCTACTAATTATTGAGCTCTGGGAATGGAAGTCTTTTCTGTCAAAATCTGCTGATATCCATGAAAGTTGCTAATAGTTCTTTGAGATTTGGTTGTAGGGGAGTAGAACTACTTGGACCAAAATTTAAAGGGGAATAAAGATTTTCCTGGGGGTTTATTCACTGTACATCAGATGAATCATACAGTCTCCAGTCCAATTTAAAATTAGTCTCTCACAGTTAGGGCATACTTTTCTCAAGGGGTGGGATCATCAGGGTTTTCAAAGCCAAAGTCATAAGATGGTTTTGGTCCACCCCTTAGGGAGACATACACAGGAAACTGCCTCTTCTCTTTTGGGCCCTGCCGGGAAAAACAGTTATCACTACCTTTGGGGAAAGCGATTCTGAAATGGCTTTATCGGTATAGGGTTATCCAAGTGAAACTACTCACACAATCTCTCAGGAAATGCACAAGAGACTGACTTCCTACAAGGGCAGCTGGGTAGTGCAAGGGTAGCATTTGAGGAGCCGCCAAAGCAGCAGGTACCAAGTAGCCAAAGGAAAAGTAGACCAGGTATAACAATAGGGAATCAAAGAGTGGCTAATCCTTTGAATGTCCCATACACTGATGTACTTCCATTGTGGTACCAAAAAAAAAAAAAAAAAACCTCACATAAAATGTACCAGATTAACCATTTAAATTATACTGGTAATTTAGCATTGTCAAGTACACTGCTACTGTACTACAGATCCCCATAATTTATTTTTTCATCTTGCTTATCTGATAGTCTACTCATTAAAGGACAATTTC